TTTCAATTATAATTTAATGTGCAGTGACTAAATTCTACACAGGAACTTTACGTGTTGTGCGAAACGCAGCATACCCTGGAATCCATGGTATCCATTGATCCGAAGGCAGAACCCAAGCCCATTCGCTCCACCTGTCTCGCAGCTGCAAACGAAGAAGAATTCTCTGCAGCTGCTTTGCGCATCAATGCTTCCAACTTATACATTTCACTAAAACAAAAAATATTATCGTAGATTAAGTAAAAACGTACTCAGCGACGTACTCTGTTTGGGTTGTAGGTCTCGACCACGGCGATACATCAGCGGCACCTCTGCCATCATTGCGTAGATATGGTTCGTTATAGGATCTCTGAAAAATGAATGAACTAAAATATTAAACTTGAACGAATATTCGTCAGTTTCGCTATTCTTACCTTCTCCTCATACATGCTACCCACAGGGTAGCGTTCGTTCTGCAATGGGGCTGGATCCCTTTCCCACTCTCTTTTCCTCACTGATGAAGACCAAGGTGACACTTCCGATCCACGATTAGGTGATGAAAGCTCTCTAGACCTTCGAACGGGTTCTCTCGGGGTAGATTTGGGAGTTCCTTTTGAAGAAGATTTCGAACCATACTTCGAACCAGTATTCGTAGACGCTGAAAACAGCCCATTACATAAAAAAAATGTAAATCTATAGGGTATTTTTCAAAGTGATTGGACGTTCCACGCCGCAACTGTCCAGCTTTCTATGAGCGCAACTGACTACGGTTACCTCGGTATGCCAGATTGGAGTAGGCGCCCCTACATGCACACCGAAAGCTGACGACTTATTCAGTGATTCCTTCTTCCCTGAGGGGAAGAGAAAAGGATTGGGTCCTCAATACTATGCGTTGATGTTACGTATTAGGTCATACCACAACTCCGTGTGAGATCTCACGACACGTCACTGACGTGGGAGTAAGGAGCAACGTGACAAAGTGTAATACCTTTTGCTGCGTGAAGAGTTGTTTCAGGCATAAGGAGTACCTCCCACTGGCTGAAGCAGAAGTCTTTACCTCCCCAAGCAAATGCCGTCCTACATATAATAGAATCAATAAAGATGCAGTAGCTTTCCGTAAAAGACTGGCACTGTGAAATTTGACAGCTTTCGTTCTATGGTGCCGAGGAAGTTTCGAAGTGGAATGCATTGACATTGGCCTAACGTTCAACAAGACTGTCGTTTTTACAGAGGCAGAGCTAAGTTTAAGGCTTAGGTTAGAATAGCTCTCTCTCTCTCTCTCTCTCTCTCTCTCTCTCTCTCTCTCTCTCTCTCTCTCTCTCTCTCTCTATGCTGTCAAACGCTTCCACTTCTGAGAGTTTCTGACGAAATTTCAGGAGAACAATCAAAAATCACGACTGGGTGGTTATATCTCTCACCAGCCACCATTACATGAGAAAATGACACCTCACTTGTTGAGTTCAGTTTAGAAAACATAGAATCCCGTGCTACCCTTCTCAGCAAAATTAATTAGACTTCCACTACTCACATTAGTAGCTCCACTAAAATGCAATATTTCATTCAAAAAGTGCACAATCGACAACACTATACATCGATGGTCGTCCTGGATTCTCCCAAATCCAGAATGCTCTAAGCGCTTTGCTAGCCAAAGTCTCAATCTCGCATGACCATTTCTGGACTTCACAACGAATTCTTTCCGCTATGCTCTTCGATCCGGCCGGCTGAGCGGTATTCAGTATTTCCTCATTCCCTCAATCTCTGATACTTATTCTACTGTTCTCTAATCTTAACGGTTAAGATCCGTTACGAGTCTGCCTTCAGTCCGATTTCGTACTACCGTGTGTGTGTTGGTGTGTGTGTTGTGTGTTGTGGTGGTGTGGTGGCGTCGTGCGTCTGTTGGTGGGCTGTCGGGGGTGTGTGTGCGGTGCGTGGTGTATGTGTGTTGTGTTGTGTGTTGATTTCTGGCCTCAGAAGATCTAATACCAACATAAGTCGAAACGCCTACATCAGTGCGAGAGATTGGTCAGAGAACGACTAGCAATACTCGTCAAAGACACTGGTGAAACGTCGTTGAAAATACGCTCACAGCATACCAACGAGAGCCGTAGCGGGAAACGAATCTAATGTAAGTGTATGAAGCGACATGTGGACTATTTTGATGAAAGCACCTGAAAGCGTAGACATTCCTCAACTCCGCTCTCACTTCGCTAAAAACCTCGCATAGCTGCCTAGATGAGATGTTTTTTTATATCTGGCTAGTGTAAGTGGAACACTTCATTCTAAGGCTGGCATGACTGTCAACTAGATCGTTTTCATCGGAGGCCTAATGGGCTGGCTCGTGGTTTAAAATTATTCACTACATCGCCTAACGCCACAGCTCCCTAATGTTCAGACGGGAGAACAAAAGAAAAACTCGAGCAAGGAAACAGACGTACCCATTGCACCACCGTAGGAGCGGAATTTCGCAGTAGTCAGTGGTAAATGGGACTTTCTGTGCTGTCCTTATGCAGCAGGTATGATTAGGGCTTGTACGTCTCATTATTTACATGTAAAACTTACGTAGTGTAATGCTTACTGCAAAGACAGCACAGTAATAGACAGCTATTCTAGCTACTAGCAGAGCGGCGACATTCCGCTCCTACCGTGGTGGACTGGGTAGGTCCATTCACTTACTCGAAGTTTTGTGCCGTTCCACACATGTGGTTGATTTTCCTGACATTCAGTCCGAAACGCGAAGGAGCGGTGGCGTTTTCGGTGTAGACTAGAATAATTTTAAACCATGAGCCCGGCCATTAGAGTTCCGATGAAGATGTTCTTGTAGAAACGTCAGGCCAAGAATAAGGTCTTCCATCCAACAACCTTGCCGGCACATTAGAAAATAATTTTACACTTCTGCTAACAATCCCAGCAGAACAGCAGAAATGAGTGCCCATCCACTATCAGTAACTTCTTGCCATTTGTACCGCATTGTGAGCTACTAATGCGAATAGTGGGACGTGCAAGTCCTCATCATTTTTCTGTGTAGGGACAGCCTATCCCAATGCCTTACTAACCACAGAGTGGTGTCGTTGTGGTAGCGGACTGGTAAGTTCGTTTGTCCCATTCGTGATTCCGGCTGTTTTCCTGAGATTCCGTCAGAAACTTCGGGTAGATGCGTTCGAGCGCGCAGAGAAAGAGAGCAATTTATCAATTCGAGTAATGGTAAGGCTTTTGGGAAGGTGATCTAGACCAGTATCAATGAAGAGTGACCGCTGAAATCGCGTTAAAAGAATGTATTCGATGAAACGCGATCTGCTCGTTACTGACGTGTCATGAGACATCATGCCAATTCGTGATATGTCCTAAAACGTAACATATTTTACTGGATTAGTGCTGGGAAAGGACTGCCAACCTTTCCAGATGATAGAGAAGGGAAAATAGGCTCCGACTGTGGAAGTTGCCAGCAACCACCATGCAACATGTCTTGAGAAATGGATCTCATCACTACACGATACTCTCGGAACACTTCGAAGTACGAGAAACCTAGAGCCCTTTCCGGGTTCCAGCACAGCATCAAATGTGCACCTATGAGTACTGCT